TTTATGCATTTTTATACATAAGTCTAATTTTTCATATATCTCTTAAATTATTGATCTGTGGCACTTGTAAACCATTGGAAACAGTTTTAATAGACTTCCTAGAGGCTAATTGATCGATTTAGGTCGTTAGATAAGGGGGAGTCGATAAGTGTATTTGTCCCAATAGAGAAAATCATAGAATCAAGTAATGTGCTATATAATATTTCTTGAAAAATATTCATTTTCACCTTTTTTTCTTAGATAATCTATATTATATTGTACAAGTTTTCTTCTTCAGGAACTTTCATATGATTGGTCACAGAACGAAAAAAAAAGTATACATACATATATACATATATATATATGTGCGTCCTATATGTCCATTCATTATGTATATACGTCGTGTATGTTCATTCATTATACATGTACGTCATGTCTGACCATTGATTGTCTCTCTCTCTCTATACATATATATGTCCATCATATTTTATTTTGTTTTATTTTTCAAAGCTCGGAGCAGCATAACGTTTACAAAACTGTCCATTATCTATATTAACTATATTTTCGGAGAGTAAGAATAATAAATAATCGTAGCGAAGCTAAATATTGTAAGAGCTCCCTTCTATTAACTGATTGAAAGGAGATGATAGAGTAAGTGAGTGATTTAGTAATTAATCACTAATTAATTATTAATATATTTATATATGTATATTATATTTTTCAATCAGGAACTTCTTATGTAAATTAAATCAATTTCTCCTATAATATTAAATTTTTCCGATAATATTAAAGTTCAACCAAGGGGGAAAAGGCAAGACTCCCGTACTCCCACAATACAATGGGAGTACAGTGGAGGTACAGGGGAGCACAGTGGAGGCACAGTATAGTACAGGGGAGCACGGAGGAGGTACAGTGGGAGTACGCACTCCAGGAGTCCCGCTTTCCCCCTTGAGTTCAACCCTTCACAGGGGCCTCTAGTAGGTATGGGTCTTTATTCCAAATGATGATCCACTTGGAAAAGAAAGAAAAAGTGAATGCATTTTGTTTTTCTTTTCACTTGCCAAAGTTTATTTGAAGAAAAAGAAAAACCAATCATTAAATATTTTTTTGTCTTTCTTAAAATTAATTGATTCGTCTCAACAATAGACATATCATCATATGCCTATTGTTTTCATTGTTCAACTCTGCTTGTCATTGTTCATCAAAAAATATTTAAATTGACAATACATTTTTTTTTGTTTTGTTTAGGAAATCTCCAATATGGAAACAACCATTGAAAAAATGGTGCAAAAATTAATTATTTGTGATGATTCTGTCGAAATATTAAAACAATTGCTCGACAATGAAACAATTGATTTATCAAAATTAATATATTTGATTTTTAATGATATTTTTGAAATAACAAATGAAACAAAAATTGAATGTATGGCACAAGTTATTTCAGAAATATGTGTTAAAGAACAAAATTTAATATATATAGCTGATCAAATTCGTTTACTTAATGGTGAAAATGATGAATTACAATTAAAACGAAAAAAATTTCTAAAAAAAATTTTTTTTCAAATAAGTAAAAGATGATTTTTATATTGTTTATATTTCTTTATATTGTTTATGTAGATAATCAAAGAAAAAAGATTAATAATGCTAATCTTGATATACAATTTATGTGTGATTGTATTGATTTAGCAGCATCAATTGTTTCATAATTATGATGATGATTTATTATTTTTTGTGAAAACAAGAAAAAAAACATATATATATGTGAACATGATATTATTTTTTATGAAAACAAGAACAAAATATATATATATGAACATGATACCATTTTTTGTAAAAGAAAAAAGAAAAAAATATATATATAGGAACATGATATCATTTTTTGTTAAAAAAAGAAAAAATATATATAAATATAAAGATGTATGAATATAGATTACTCTCATATGTCTAAATAAATACATGAATTAATGATGAAAGAATTGTCAATAAATAGTGCATAAAAAAAAGCATTGATAAATTAGTAATCAAATAGATGATATCTGTTTTTGTTGTTTTATTTTGGAAAAAATAATATATAACAGCAATTTGAAATAGATTATAGTGTTTATGAATATATTTAAATGTTTCTGTATAGCATTAAACATGTATTACTTGGAGAAACACAGGATAAACTTTTTGTTTTCATTATTCTTCTTAAAATTTATAATAAGCAAAAAATTTCATTTATCATTTGAATACAATCATCAACAAGAGATGGAAGTAAACAAACTTGTTCAGCTATTAATTTTAAAAAAGAATTGGTATCTTTTTAAAGAAGATAAAAATGAAGATGAATTAACTTGTTGATTAAGATTATGTTTTTTTTTTCATTAAATTTCTTACGATGAATCATTGAAATATTTTCATTATTTTATTGCTTATTAATGGAAATTCTTTATTATTATTAAATAAAATTTGAAAATTTTCTCTTTCTTAACTATTTATGAAATATTGTTTTTATAATCAAACTAAATCTTTTATTTGTTTAGCATCATTAGTAAATGTATACGAACTTTTAATATTTCATTATTTTCCTAATGCGTATAATGATTAGTATCTATTATAGACAATATAATAGAAGTCAAATTTGTTGACTTGATAATGCTAAAGAGAAGTCAAAAGATCTAAGTTTTTTTAAAACAGTATTTTCAATTAGAAAATAAATCGAGATCAACATAAAATAATTCAAATCATCATTCTCAATCATGTATTTGTTTTTCTTTAACTTCGAAGCAATATAATCTTACTAACGAGAACCCATGTTACACTACACGGCTGTTTTTTCTTCTAACGTATGTTCTTAAATCCTTAATCATTCACTTAGTAACACAGATATACACCCTCAATATAATGTACAGAAAAGTTCTACAGCGTCATAGCATTACCCTTCCATAGCTTTAGCTCTCTATAGCCTTAGTCCCTTATAGTCTTATTCCTCTATATCCTTATCTCTTATAGCCTTAAGCCTCTACAGTCTTACCCCGTTACAATCTTACCTCCTTTATAGCCCATACCTCTATAGCCTACCCTAGTTATAGTCCTACCCATCTGTAATCTTCTCCCGTTATAGCTTTAATCTATTGTAGTCTTACCCTTCTATAGACTTACTCCCCTTACAGTCCAGGTCTCTATAGTCTTACCCCTTATAGCGTTACCCGCCTATACTCTTATTCGATCTTTAATCTTTGACCTGGCACAGACAGACACTTAACATTATATATATACTAGCGAGAACCCGTTCATACTGTACGGGAGGGTTTTTTTTTCTTTAACATATGATCTCAAAACTTTAATCTTTCACTCGGTAACAGACACACAAACACCTAACATTATGTACATAGAAGCCTTGCGACGTGATATCTTTATACCACTAATAGCCCATGTCGTCTTACGGCCTTATAGGCTTATCCATTTATAGCCTTACCCCGTTATAGCCTTCCCTTTATAGACTTAATCCCCTACAGCCTTACTTGCTTATTGCCTTACTCTTTATAACCTGATCCATTTATAGCCGTACTCTCCTACAACTTTACTCCCTTGTAGCCTTACTCTTATAGCGTCCCTGCTTATAGTCTTCTCCCCTAATAGCCTTCTCCCCTTATAGCCTTCTCTCCCTATAGCCTCACTCCTTATAACCTGACGCTCTTGTTCCCTTACTTCCTTGTAGCTTTATCCCCTTATTGTCTTACTGCTTTATAGCCTTACTTCTTTATAGTCTTACCTCCTTATAGTCCTATCTCTTTATCACCTTGCCCCCTTATAGCCTTACCCACTTTACAGGCCTACTCTTTTATAGCCGGATTCTTACAGTCTTACCCTCTTATAGTGTTTCCCCTTATAGCCTGCCCCCCCTCTCCCTTGTTACCTTACTGCCAAATAACCTTATCCCTTTATAGCCTTACCCCGTTATAGTTTTCTCCTTATAGCCTTAATTCTTTATAGCCTTATTTCCTTATAGTCCTACCCCCTTATGACCTCTTTCTTATAGTCTTCTTCCCTATAGCGTCATCCCTTACAGTCTGACCCCCTTGTTGCCTTACCCTTCTTATAGCCTTACTCCCTTATTGCCATATAGCCCTATCTCCCTTATCCCTTATGTTAGCTCCATATGTGTAGAACGAAAGAGACAAGCAGTGTCACTGATGTTATGTGACAGAACGATGAAAAAGATGACGTTCATGGGACTCGAACCCATACCTCCTGCTATCCGGGCAGTTGTCCTAAGCCAATTAGACTAGAAGGCGCATCTTAATCATCGTTTAGCGTCCAAGTGATTCATCATGGACGCTAACACCTTATACCTTATAGCCTTTTCTCCTTATCCCCTATACTATTATACCCTTAAGCCTTACCCAGTTATAGCCCTACCGCTCTGTAGTCTTATCTCTTTATACCTTTATCCTGTTATAACCTTACCCTTCTATAGCTTTATCCTCCTCCTTACAGTCCACGCCTCTGTAGACTTACCCCATATAGCGTTACCCGCCTATACTTTTATTCGATCTTTAACCTCTGACCTGACACACACAGACACTGAATATTATATGCATAGAAGATTCTCTTATTACCTGCAGGGCCTATAGCTACTCCCATATAATGGCTCTTGAGGACCTATGGGTATCCCCATAATATAGCTCTTTAGAACTTATGAGTATCCCCATAACATAGCCCTTGAGAATCCGTGAGTATCCCAATAGGATAGTCCTTGAGGACCTATGGGCTTCCAATATAGTAGCCCTTGGCGCCTTCCCTTTATACCCTTATTTGACCTTTAACCTTTGACCTCTGACCCGGCACAGACACACACACACAGATAGACACACACTGAAAAATAGTAATATAGATATATAGCTTTTTACGTCGTTCAATACTTTATTCTAATGTTAATTATTTCTTGATTGTAGCATCATAATACTCGATATATTTATCAATATATCTATGTTGATTTAGTCAAGTAAAAGCTATGGAATAGTAGCAAGGAGGCGGGGGGGGGACGGCGTATTCGCGTACTCCCTGTACTCTTCGTACTTCTGTACTTTTCGTACGCTTGTGTACTTCCTGGGTTACCGTAGACTCCGAGAACACGAGGAGTTCTGGCAGTTAGGTTTGTACAGTTCCCGATCATAAGTTCGGATCAAATGAGTGAAAGATCTGTTCGAACAGATCACTTTTAGGAACTGATCGATCCAAGATAATAGACTATCTATAACTTTTGAAGATCTGCTTAGGATCTATGAGGCTACCCCATAAGTCCTAAAGAGTTATCCTATGGATGTACTCATACGTACTCAATGGCTATGCTATGGGGATACTCACAGGCTCTAAAGACCTATCCTATCAGAGTACTCGTAGGTCATCAAGGGCTATCCTATGACGGTACCCATAGGTACTCAAGGGCTGTTCTATGGGGATACCCATAGGTCCTCAAAGGAAATCCTATCCGTGCAGCCATACGTTCTCAAGGCCTAGATTATGAGGTTACTCGTACGTTCGCAAGGACTATCATACGTAGATACCTGTAGACCTCAAGTATTATCCCATGGGGGTACCATAGGTCCTTATGTGTTATCCTACAGGAATACCCATAAATCCTCAAGGCCTATATTATGAGGGTACC